TTTTTTTTTTTTTTTTTTTTGTCTTTATGTGCTTATCTATATTTATATGTGAGTATTCTTCTTAGTAAAGAGTCAAAAAAAGAAAAAAAAAAGGAACTGTTTGTATATTTGTTTATTCTCTTTTATTTTCTTACTTGACTAACTTCACGTATAGAAAGCGTGAAGGAAATGGAAGAGAGACGGAGATCTCGTCGGTACATTGCCAGTGGACCCCATGAAGATGAAATGGCAAAAATGAAGCACACTCATGATCTGGGAAGTACCAGATCGTCTGTCCGCAGAAGTATTGCAGAATTCAGTGAGTCTGCCTCACTCCTTTTACCACTTTTGAATCAGAAATTCACTGTTCCACCTACTTGTTTTAACAGGAAAGTTGCTGCACGTGTGGTGCAAAAACCGGGGACTGTGGTTCACTGGAAGGACTCCCTTCGTCGAGATGTGCTCATGTTACCATCAATTAGTCACCTTCGCACAAAGCGGGCGCAAGAGAGCCATACTAATGAGGTGAATGAGGTAAACGAAGTGCATGGTGTAAACCGTGATATTATCCCAAAGAGAATGAGTGACGATATTTCCCTCGTGAGCTCGACTGAACAAACAGTGGCAAATGTAGATGCGAATCATAGAACAGAGGAGTCTGCACTTGAAACACTACGAAATTTATTTCTTCCCCGTTGGCGTCTTTTTTCGCACCTTAAACATCGCTTCAGCCAACCTACTGTGGTTGCTCCATCTGTTGCGGATTCACCTCCGCGACGCCAGAGTCGAGTGAAGGATATGGCGGTTGATGTTATTCTCTCTTATCTCCGGGCAGATTTGGTGCGGCCGCTGGTGGAGTTCCGTCGCTGGAGGAAAAAACTCGTGGCGGCCCAACGGCTCTTCCGGCGGCACACGATGGCCGTCGATGCCCGCGTGGAGCTCAACTACCGCCGGCTGCGGGCGTCGGTGGAGGAATCGTACTGGCGGCAGACCGCCGGCCGCGGGGGAGACGCCGTCGACTTCAACACCGCCGGCCGCCTGCCAGAGCGACTGCTCCGCCGCGAACTACGCGCAGCGCTCTACAGCCACATCCGACGCTCCGTTCAACCTCCGCCGCCACAACAAGAAGAGGAAGAGGAAGAAGAAGAAGAAGAAGAAGAAGAAGAAGAAGAAGAACATCAGCAACAGCAACAGCAACGTCAACAGAAACAGAAAGAACCACCAACAACACGGGTGACGGCGTTTCTACCTCTCTCAGTCTTTTACGCTGTTCTTGACAATGTGTGTTACATCACTAGCGTGTTACGCAATTTTAAATTGCTACGAGCTCACTTATCTGAACGGGCAAAGGTCATATCATCTTACTAGGTTACTAGTTCATCAAATGTATATATTTACTAGGTTGGTTACGAGGTATATTGATAGACATAGTTAACCGTCCCCTTTCCCCCCTTTTTCCCATACTCTTCCTTTTTCCTTCCCTCAGTACAGAATAAAGACGATGCTACGAGAAACGAACGAAGAGGGAAAAAGAAGAAAACTGATGAGAATCTTATTACTTTTTCTCACTTATTTCACGTCCTTTTTTGCAGTTTTTTGTTTTTCTATAGAGTCTCGGAATAAATGCTATTATAGTTATGGGTATTATTGCAGATAATATCTTTTTTGATGTAACCAGGAGGAGGAGGAAAAAAAAAAAAGATGTAGGTAACACATGTTGCAGTTTTTTCCTATTATTCCTATGAAAAAGACAAAGTCGTGTTCTGTTTTGTTTTTCACTCTCTTTTTCTTTGTTTCTATCTCGTTGTAGCCGTTCAATTGCACATACCCTTTTTTTTCTCTTCTGTTGCCATTGTATGGCATTAGTTGAGTTTGCAGTACAAAATATTAAATGCATCGTCCCCGAGTCTTGTCTTTGCTTTTTTTTCTTTGTTTGTGTGTATCTGTGCGTCGTGGTATTTATTTTACTTATCTTTCAATTGGAGCGTGTTGCGTGTAGTGACACTACCACCGGTAAAATAATATTCCTTCTCCTCGTATTTACAGAAAGACACATGCAAATAAAACAGTGTATATATAGGTTTTTCTATATGTACGTATTTATTCATTTAAGTACACATTTATGTTATCTACTTAACCGTTTTTTTTTTGTTGTTGTTGTTGTTGTTAGGGGGTGGCGGAGGGAGTGGGTGTTTTAGCATCTCTCATCACTTTATATCGTATGGTTGATCTTTTATTTTTTTGATCTTTGGATGTCATATTTATTTATTTATTTATTTTTTTTTTTTTTTACCCTTATCTGAACATCTTTCTTTTTCTCCATGTAACTGTATTGACATTTAAAATATCAATAATGATTCTAACAATAGGTGTAGAAGACACATCAAAGAAAAAGGAAAAAGAAGGTGATAAGGGTTTATACATTTAATCCCATGCATTTACAAGTATACATTGTGGACGGCAAGCGTCAATACACGCTGAAGAAGATGGACCCTGAAGGAAAGCCAACACTCAGCGCACACCCCGCACGGTTTAGCCCAGATGATAAGTACAGCCGCCACCGCATCACTATCAAACGCCGATTTAAGGTTCTCGCTTCTGACAAACGTCCAAAGGCGCTGTAGTACCTTGAATCTAGTAAGCACTGATGATATACCTTTTTTTGTTTTGTTTACCATTTGCTCAATCACGTGTTAAGGCAGAGAAACGAAAGGAAAAAGAAAAAGATAATTTCTGCAAATAAAGTTTATGGGCATATATATATATATATATATATATATATATATATATATATATATATATATANATATATTTATGTCAACTATTTACCATTTGAGTTTTCTGAATATGAAATCTCTTTTTTTTTCTTTTTTTTTCTCCTTTTTTTATTTCTGTACTGGGTCTTTTATTTTCTCATTCTTCTAATTCCTGTTTTTTTTTTTTTTTTTTACTTTCGTTTATCTCTGGTGTATTAAAGATGGTAGGGCATGCACAGTCACGTTTCCGGAAACTTCTCCGGTTGCACTCTTCTGTATTATCACGCACGCGTCATGGACGTCTCTGTCTTCTTGTGTTCCTCTGCGTATTAGTTGTTGTTTGTTTTGTTCTCTCCGCTTCACCGGTACTTCCCGCCGTGCCGGACCGCGCGAGTGTGCGTGTGGATGAGCGGATTGATTCTATGCAGTCTCTCTCTGATGTGCTCTCCTACCGCCCAGAGGTGCGGGATGCGCTGGCGATGATATTCGATGTGCACAGCGATGCGGCGCGGATGTCTGTTCCCGCCTCCTTTCGTTCAAAGGCCATGGCGATGTTCTCCGCCTACGGCGGTACAAAGGAACAGTTGTTGCAGGCTATAGAAACTCAGCGCATTATTGAAGTGTGGAATCGTGTTACTGGTGAGAACGCAGTTTTTAATAACATTCGAAGTTTTAGACCTGGTGGCGGTAGTGGTGGTTCAAACACGGCAGAGAAGCTTGCCGTAACGAAGTTATACACAGATGGAAGTGGAGAGGCTACATGTGATTTTTGTAGTAAAGTGCGAACTGCAGAAGATATATTTGGTCGAATAACAGGAAATTATTCATACACTGCATCAAATGTGGCCAAATTAAGTAAATGGCATGGTCTTATCATAACTAATGCTCACAATCCCCTAGCTTTTGATGAAGAAGTTATTGCCGATATTATCACTGTTTCACACAAGTGGTTTAAGAAAGTTCACAGTGAAGATCCTCTTCACATTTATCCTAATATTATCTGTGATATTGGCAAAAAAGCTTCTGCATCACAAATTCATTTACATCTACAGATGGCTTTAACAAGATATCATTACTTTTCTGGTACCGAACAACTTCTTCGTGCTGCAGCTTTTTACTCTAAAATAAACAAATCTAGTTATTGGAATGATATTGTTTTTTTACATGATATGATTGGTTTATCCGTATCAGTAGGTGACTGCGTAATTCTATCAAATATTTGTCCACGCAAAGAGAAAGAACTCTTTGTGCTTTGTAAAGATCCTGAAAGTCCTTCATTTGCCCGAGCCATTGCTATTGCTTTAATGACACTTCGTGATGCTGCTGATGTACATTCTCTTAGTTTTGTTCTTTCTTATCCTCCATTTGGTAAATCAGGCGATTATCATTTGGGTGATATTCCTGCTTTCATGCGTGTTATTGACAGAGGAAGCGCATTTGATTCCCGGGCTGATACAGGAGCACTGGAATACTTTGGAAGCACATACATTGCCACCGATCCATACAAAATTGTTCCACACATACTAAAGATGAGACAACGTCTTTATGGAGACAGTGACAGCAGGCATTCTTTCACCAGACTATGAAGGATCATTGGAAGTATCAGAAAAGAAAAAAAAAGTTCAACTCCCCCTTCTCTTCTCCCCTCAACCTTCCAAAAAAGGAAAAAACAAAAAAAAAATACATCTACAAAACAAAACAAAAATGAAGAAGTGAATATTCAGGGGTTATTGTTATTTTCTTTTTTTTTTTTTTGCTTTTTTTTTTTCTCTTTGAATTATTTTTTAATTTTATGCTTTTTTTTCTTTTACTGGTGACCATTTATTTTGCTCTGTTCTTTTTTTTTTTTTTTTTTTAATCGTTCCCCTTTCTCTTCTTTACTACTTGTATTTCTGTGTATACATGAAATGTACATTATATATAGGCTACTGTGTACGAGTGTGTGTGAAGAAAGGAACGGTGGGAGGAAACTTGTTTTCTCTTTTCTCACCCTCTCTGCCTTTGCCTTTATATCTATATATAAATAAGTATATATATATATATATATATATATATATAATGGCGTCTGTGCGTGCTCTTGGTTTTCGCTGCTCACCGGTACTTCGTACTGGGCGGCTTACGCTGCGGGAATTGCAGTTGCCGCCGCGCCACACCGTAGACGGCGCCCCCACACTGGATGGCACGCTCGACATGGTTGGCTACCAACTGTTCGTGGACGGCCTTCTCCCCCCACCCCCCGCCGTGCGGGCACAACAACAACAATTGCAATTGCAACGACATCAACATCAGCAACAACAACAGCAGACAACAGCTGCAGCGGCGCGTGTGCGGCGAAATGGTGTAGTGCTGCGCCGCAGTGTGAAGGAGACACATCTCACAATCGGCTGCGATGAGGCGGGCCGTGGGCCTCTCGCCGGTCCGGTGGTGGGGGCCGCCGTCTGCCGCATTCCTACATCCAGCTTTAACAACGACCTGCACGGACTTTATAATGACAAGGAGCAGTTTCAGATATTTGATAGTAAGTCTCTTTCAGAGTCTCAACGAAATGTAGTGTTTAAAAATATCACGGGGTATGAAAATTTATTTGACTTGGTGGCGGATAAATCATTTCTAGTTCATCATGCAGCTGGTGATTCAGCTCCTGATAATGCCTTGACCAAACGGTCCTCCTCGCATACAAAACTGCAAAAATTGTCATTTAAGAAACTTCTTTCAATGCAAACACCATATTTAATTTCATACCATGGTGGTAATGTTTATGGTAATTATCTCTATTTGTGGTCTATTGGTATAGCGAATCATACATACATTGATACTGCCAATATTTTTGCAGCTTCAATGCACACAATGCATCGTTCATGCCTTGCTGTTTGGCGTATGTTAAGTGATACACGTTTCTCTTTTGAAAAGGCACCAAGACCGAAACATTGTTCCATCGCACAATATCTCTTATCTCGCTATTGTATTGCCGTATCCCATGATCATCTTAAACGTTATCAAGTACCATCAAACATTGAATTAGATGATACAAATGAATTCCTCGATATGAGTGCTGTTCAACCACCTCTAGTTTTAGTAGACGGAAACAGTGCCCCAGAGGAGACGGTAAATGTTTTATCAGACATGCGCATAGGTGGTCTTGTATTACCTATAATAGAAGGTGATAAACGTAGCCTAACTATTGCAGCAGCGTCATGTCTTGCAAAAGTAGCACGTGATGAAATCATGAATTATTTAGACACACTCTATCCCAAATATCATTTTGCAATAAACAAGGGATATCCAGTAGAACACCATATGCGTGCAGTTCAGAAACACGGTGTTTCCTCCATTCACCGTAAGTCATATAAACCGTGCGCTACTGCCATTGAGAAGCAGCTAAGGCGTAAGGCACGAGCATCCCAATTATAGGGATAAACACTCCTATAGATAGAAATGGGTTTTGAAAGACCAAAAGAAAGAGGGAAAAAAGGAAATTCACAAAGAGACCACATATATATATATATATATACGAACAGTGCAGAGACATTAAAAAAATGAACGTAACGTCCCGAGTTAAAAAGAAGAGTAAGAATAGACATGGTGTTTATATGTCAAATGGTGTTCAGGGTGGTTGTGTTGTATATTTTCTTTTTATTATTTATTTATTTATCTATTTATTTTCTACCTTTTTGGAGCTGAAAACACCTCTCTGGACATATCCTACTACCAATTCTATTTTTTTGATTTCACTACTTTACATGACGTCTAAATTCATTAAAAACAAAAGAAAAAAATAAAAGGAAATAGTTTAAATGCTTCCGAAAAGGGGTTAATACTGATGGAGAATATCTGTACGCGTAACGTTTCACAGTCGAACCACTCGGGAGGTAAATCTCTCGCACTGCTATCCACAAAGCTGGCGAAGCTTAAACAATCTATAAGTGATAGGCAAAAATGCTATGAAGAAGAAGAGTTTCAGTTTCAACAAATAAAAGAAAAATTATGTCAAGAAAAAGAACACATTACAAGACAGTTAGCTATTGTTAATCAAAGATGCGCAGAAATCACTGATAGCATCACGCACACGTTAAAATCTTCAGACATCGCCTTATTGCAGGAGGAGTTGCAACGCCTCTCTAATACAGAACTTGGTCTGCAGGTTTTAAAGCTTCGAGTAGAAGAAGAAATCTGCTCCTTGAGGGAGCGCATTGTACAACTATTTCGTAGAAATAACTCTACTGATTGATGAACGACCTCTAACTGATCTGTACTGTTTTCTTTGTACAGAGAAAGAAATGCATGCATATTTATATTTATCTATTAATCTCTATTCCTATAGTTGAAATTATGTGTTTAATCTCTATTCCTATGGTTGAAATTATGTGTATATGGGTCCATGCCATTTATCGGTCAGAGTATTTTTTTTTTTTTTGTTCCTCTACCATTTCGTTTTGTCTTAACTCCTCATTGCAGCTTGGTATTGGATAAATATCAGGCACACACACAGAGGGATACAGGCTTTTATGATTCTCTTAACTTTTCTTTTTCTCTCGGTAACGACCCCTGGTTAGATTATCTATTCTTTATTTATTTTTTGATTTTTAATTTTTTTTTCTTTTTTTTATTTATTTACGGAAGGACCAATGGTGGTGCTGCGTCTCATTGGTGATGAATGGTCGTGGGAGGATCGCATTGCCCTTGCGATGCCGCCGCAGAAAACCTTCACGATGTGTATTCCGCTGCTTGTCTCCAAACTCGGTGTAGAGAAGTGGAGCGGCCTCACACTTTACCGAACGGAGGGGCGGCCGCCAAAGTACTGTCGCCCAACAGTCCCATTGGATATGGCGAGCAGTCCGCAGAAGGAACGATTACGGGACGGCACAGTAATGTGGGTGCGTGCGGCTCCCTCACTTGTTCAGCAGGAGCGGGAACGTGTCTTTCAATCCTCTCTTGAGGACTGGCGAAAGAAGAATGGACTTTCAGGCATATCGGATGATGGTAGTGACGTTAAGCGGTTTATCGAAGAATTGAGTTCACACTTAAATAAGGCAGACGCCAAAGATTTGAATGAACAGGAGCAGGAAGCACGAAATACAATAGAGGGTGAGGAACATCGCTGGTTTGCTCATATAATTTATTCACGACGTACAATGGTGGAAATGGAGTCAGAGGAACAGAAATGCAGGCAAAACTTGGAGGAGGAATATTCTACTATGGCCAAACAGTATTACCGAAGTTTTTTATTATCTTTATATCGTGAAAAAATTCAACAGTTAGAAGCACTAGAGAAAAAGGGTCGTCATACAATTCTTGAAGAATATGATTCCACCACTAGGTTGCTCTACAAAAAGTTACATGAAAATCTTCAAGCGGTTGTAGCAAAAGAGTCTAATCTGTTAAGTAATTCATCCTCGAAAAAGAAGAGTGAGGAGGATAATGATAAAGGAGAGGAAGAAGAAAAAGGAAAAAAAATGAAAGGTTCTAATGAGAATATTCAAAATACAGAGGAAATATTACTGATGGTTCGTACAGAACTACAGAGATTGCTAGAACCCGTGAAACAAATGTATTATACGGGATTAGAGGATCTTAAAAAACAAAGGGATCTTATTAGTGATCGTGCCGAGACCTTTCTCTCACATTTACGAGAATATATCGTTAATGCACTTCGTTTTATCCATAATGAGGCTTGGAGGTTAGGTGCATCCAAACCATTACCAGTAATCTCACCTGCGGTAACAAAAACTAAAGAGTTAAAACTTGCCATGGAGAGACAACAGCTTCTTCTTACACAATTACTTGGGGAGTATCAAAACCTAGAGTTGCATGTTTCAGCTGATTTGAATGAAATTAGCATGAAGACAACGCTAGACGCCCTATACGTAACGCAGCTAAACATGTGTCGTTACCTTGACACCCTTCATGAAGAATTTAACGTAAATGTTGCCTCATCTCATAAAGTATTAGAGACAAGTGAGAAGTCAGATAAAAATCTTTCTCCAATTCAAAAAGAAATTATATGGAAAGATAAATCAGACTTAAAGCAATCTACATCTTTGACAATATCAATTTCTACAAACAATTATCTTCAATTAGGTGAAGATGGAGTATTAAGATCTATGATTCATATTGATACATATAATATTCTTTTGGCGTTTGTGTCACGCTATATGTTGCTGCCAAGAGAAGGATATAATCAGAATCTAGAGGATGTGAAGAATTTCATTAACAAATTGGTACTCCAGTGTGGATCTGTTCAAGGTGTAGCAGATGAACTTGTTTGGACTTATCGCATAGTCTCACATCCTATGCGAAAACGTTTTCTTCGTATTACAGAAGTTGAAGCCCCACATTTGTGTGCTGTGGTAGATCTCATGCTTCATCTGTATACGGGAAGTGAAGTGGAACTCTTGTTGTGGATAAAACCAGAGTTGACTAAACAAGGTATTTTTACAAAATGTGTTGATGATAATGGTGTTGCGTATTATTATCATAGCGCTGCTGACATGAGTCAATGGGTACAACCTACCAGTATATCGGTTAAGTGATGACGTTTGGAGTATTTTAATTAGATGCTACTCCTCATACAGGAAGGAACCGGAAATAAGAGGAAATTTCGGTGTTTTTTTTTTTTTTTTGTTTTTTTCTTGTATTTTTTGCTTTAAATTTTTTTACTTTACTTTTCTATGCTTGGTTTATTCCTCGTGTCTGTGTTTTCCCCTGATATATGCAGAGTAATTCTTTTTTTTTTCCCCTCCTCTCTTTCTGATTATGATTATTGTTTCTTCTTTTATTTTTTGTATTACTTTTCCTCATTTCCTGTTCTTTCTTTCTTTCTTTTTGACGATAGTTTATATTATATTGTGTTAATTGCGATACAACGGTATGTCTGAAACAACCATTGCCTTTCGCTGCAAGGACTTTGTTCTGGTAGCGGCCGCCGGCCTCAATGCGTTTTATTACATCAAGATCACGGACCATGAAGACAAAGTGACACAACTGGACTCCCACAAAGTTGTGGCGTGTGCGGGAGAGAATGGGCCGCGGGTGAACTTTGTGGAGTACATTAAGTGCAACATGGCGCTGAAGCGGATGCGGGAACACGGACGCACCATCACGACCGCCGCCGTGGCGTCATTTATGCGAAATGCCCTCGCGCAGTCGCTGCGCAGTCGCGATGGGGCGTGTCTTGTGAACAGTCTTCTCGCCGGCTACGACGTGCCCCCCCAGGCGGGCCACGAGAACGAGTACGACAGCGAGATCGCGGCGGAGGGCGAGGGCGGCTTCGGCGTGGGGCCGCGGCTGTATTATCTCGACTACCTCGGCACCCTGCAGGAGGTGCCGTACGGCTGCCACGGCTACGGCGCCTCATTCGTCACCGCCGCCCTCGACCGCCACTGGCGCCCCGACATGACCGCGCAGGAGGGCGCAGATCTCATGCAGCGCTGCTGCGACGAAGTGCGGCGTCGTGTTGTGATCAGCAATGACACCTTTATTTGCAAAGCCGTCACGGCAAACGGTGTCGAACTGGTGCCGAGCATTCACTAAGCGGTAATGCCCACCATTATTGCCATGTAGGGGAGAAACCATGCATGTGTTTGTTTGTTCACATGTGTATGTGTGTGTGTGTGTGTTTTCTTTACGTCTAGTCTTTTCTTTTTATTATTACTGTTGTTTGTGTTGTTTTCCTTCAATATAGCTTTTCTTACTTCTTTGCAGCCAGAAAAAGTGAAGAAATAAAGGAAAGAGAAGGGATGATGCAAAAAAACAAAAAACAACACGAACAACAACAACAACAAGAACAACAAAAACAAAAAGTTCAAGAATGAAAGAAGACAATGTGGTTATTTGCATTTTTTTTTTTTTTTTTAAACAGGTTCTTTGGTTCCTGTGAGTAACATTTCTCATTGTCTCTTCTTTTTTTTTTCATTTTGTTTCCCCTTTCTATGTAAGTGGTTTCTCTTCCCACGTTGCTTATCTGAAAATCGCAGAGGTTTTTGAGATTAAAGGAACAATAAAAACAAAAACAAATTAAAGAAGAAGGAATACTCAAAAAAAAGAAAAAGGACAGATAACGTCAAGGGAGGAAATATATATATATATATATTTAATAAAATACATATACACGACATGGCAAATGAGGTGAGTCATTGGAATTTCTTTCAACTCCCACCTTTCTTCACATTGCAACCAGCTCCTGCGGCATTTGAGCGGCAGGTGACCCTTTGGGGGAATCTTATTATGGATCACGCAGTGTTTCACACACCATTGACGAAACCCGGTGTATGTTCATTCTTGCGTCTTTACAAGAGTACTAGTGACGTATTTCGAAATCAATCACTTAATCGAAGACTTGCACCAAATTCAGCAGGCCAAATGCTGGAAGCCCTTGCAATCCAGCAACCAAATCATACGGCCCTCATATCGAGTGGTGACAAGAAGGAAGTTGCCCTTCTAGTAGCTTCTAATTTGGGTGGTTTTAAAGAAATTGAACAATCTCTACTTTCGTGGATTCTTGATAGAGGTGCTGGGACTACCACTGCTCATCTAGCACAGTCAGGTGTAGTTATGACATTTGATGAATTAGCTTCTAGTAATTGCCTGACATACAAGCGAGATCATGACCCTGTAATGGGTAGAATTTCCCACGAGACTTCAATACCAGTTGAGGATGTAGCGACATTGTCTGATGAGCAGGCAATTCGTACACTTTTACAGGCGCTTAAAAATCGGCCTGTATCGCTGCTTCGACCTTTCCGTATTACGTTCTTCAATCTTGACGGAAGTGAGAGAGAGCCTTATGAAGGTGTAAAATTTGGTGGAGCTACAATGGCTTGAGGCGACGGTCTTTTTTTCCCTGTACATAATATATATAAATATATATGGTTTTTGTGTGTATGTGTGTGTCTCTGTGTTCTTCTTTCTTTCGGTCTGTCATTTAGTTTTTAACTAAGCCATACCTCTTATTATTATTATTATTTGTGTTGTAAGTTATGTTGAACCTCTTTTTCTTTTTTCTTATCAAAGTTATTACGTGAACAGGATACTTAAGGATAATGATGGCGGCTAGCAACAAGGACGCAGAGGGCCCCTGCAATCTGGATTATATTCGACAGTATGTGACCCCCTTTAACTATCCTTTGGAAAAGATGAGCGATATGACGGAAGAAATGCGTGCAGAATGTAAAGAAATTGTGGTGAACGCTATTGAAAAGCATGAGGGTAGCTACGAACTTGCGGCAAAGCACATAAAGGAGCAGATGGACAAAAAATATGGTGCTTCATGGCATTGTGTGATAGGTGAAGGGTTTGGATTTGAGATCACATACGAGATGAAACACATGATGTACATGTTTCACAAGGGCTATGTAGCGATCGTTGTTTTCAAGGGCCTCTAAGGAGTCTGCGTCTGTGTGTATTCATGTGAAGAAAGAGATCTTAGAGTTACTTGATCGTTATGTACATAGAGATATATGCAGCTGCGTTGCACCAGCAACTTCACAAAACACAATAATACCAAAAAAAAAAAAAAGAGAACGAGAAAAGAAAAGACAAGTTAGTTTCAATTGAAGTGATTTTGGAGGAACTATTTCTCCCATTGCCATTATATATAATAATCCACCAAAAAAAAAAAATAAAGTGAGAAAAATGGCAGTAGATTAATTCAACGTTTCTTTTCGAGACTATATAATTTGTCTTGTTGCGTTTTGAGATACTCTCCGTTGTTGTTGTTGTTGTTGTTGTTGTTGTTGTTCTGCACTATTGTTACTGCTACTGTTGTACTTTAAGTGATGATGTCATGATGTTTTTTTCTTTTTCTTCCTTTAATTATGTTAATGCTTCCTATTTTTTTTTCCCCCTTAATCTATTTCTTCTTGCGCTTTTTTTTTCTTTTTTTTTGATGTTTGTAGTTGTTTCATCGTTAGGATGATTGCAACTGCGGGAGTTCAGGTACTTCCCCGCACAGTGGCGGAGTGGATGACACTGATGAGAACTGCACTGCAGCTGAGGTTGGATGAACTGCCAATACCAGAACATTTCTACTTAAAAAGACTAGACACAGGAAACCGCTTTTTGCCCATGCAAATGACGACTTCTTCTTCTTCACATCATAAAAGACGAAATAGCGCCGTCTTGTTGTTGCTTTCACCGCCTCTCGGGTCTGTGGAAGGTGAATTTCAAGAATTATGTATTACTCTTACAAAGCGAACGACGAAAGTTCGTCGACACAAAGGGCAAATGTCTTTTCCCGGTGGGACCGTTGATGATGGCGAGACAAATCTAGAGGCAGCGCAACGAGAAACAATGGAAGAAGTGGGCATTGATGCCTCTGCATATAGTGTTATGGGTTCACTGCACCCAATCATATCTTTAGATGGCAATTCGTATATACATCCATTTGTTGCAATCGCCAATTCTCCAGTCTCTCCAATATGTCAGAGTCCAAATGAAGTGACATCGATTCATTATCTACATCTTTCCCGTTTATTATTAAATAGTGAGCAAACACACTATCGACTTCTAAAGTATATATCTTCCTCATCTCCTGTTCCAACACATTTTCCGTGTTTCTTCGCTAGTGACTCTCAAGTTACCTACTGCAATGAAGCCCATCCTTCACAAAATGTGATACCATTAAGAGAGGATACAGGACTCTCCCCGTTGCTTCCAGTTGATTTCCCTGGTGAGTTGGTCTGGGGATTAACTGCATTTGTTTTGTGTGAACTGTTGGTACGTCTCTCTAAGGGATTAACACAAACTCACTCTGTTGACTTGAAAACAAAGTATTTATTAAAGTGTTCTCCTCTCATTGCTCGTGATCCGGATGCTCCACTTGGGAAACTTTAGTTTCGTATCGAAGAAGGTTACTGAAGAAAATAAAATTGACGATATAATACTGAAAAGAAAAAAAAAGACATATTGGAGTTTTAATTTTTTTTGTTGTCATAGTATGTGAATATTGTGATATCTAGTGCATTTTTTTTTTTTTTTATTGTTTTCTTTACTGGAACTCTCACCTCCTTCTTATTTTCCCTTCCTTTTATTATTTTCTTTTCGGCTTTGTGTTTTTTTTTTTTTTTTTCTTTTTTATTTTTCTTCATTATGGATGTGGAGTGTTGTGCGGAAGAAGGGATTATGCTGGGCCAACTTTATCGTGTTTTGCAGACAACGCTGCTATTACTTCTACTTCTGTTGACGTGGCATTCGGAAATTGTGTCCTCTGCTCAAACGGATGCTGGTGTTCGAGATGCAGTAGAACAATTTAAAAAGGCGGTATCTGATCATGATGTAAAAGAAGTGCAACGTATACTTCATGATGAAACGCTAAGGAAACACTTGGAAAATAGTGTTCCAGCCCCGCTTTTTTGGGTAGTGAATGAAGTGGTGGATTCTAAGGAACTTGCTCGTATAGCGTTGCTTTGTCTAGAAAACTTTGGCGATAGCAATTATGACTATGATAAACATCATCCATTAACTATTGCAGTACGGCATCACCTTACACATGTAATAGTCATGCTTGTGGAATGGCCAGAGACCATTAGAGAGGTTTGGGCTAAATATCTTTGGTGTGAGGATCTTGCCTTGGTGCCGGAAACCGTAACAGTCATCCTTCACCCCGATAGTTCTGCCTGTTTCCGTAATTTTGCTCGAGTGGTGAATTATGATCAGAGTAAACTAATGGCAGAAAAGCAAATAAAAGACGAAATGAAGAAAACAGCATCAACTGAATTCGATTGGTCCAATCCGTTTTTAACCCCTCCACTAGGAAAGTTACCCTCTTCAAAATACCTCGTGATGAATCCACGAGCCTTTAATGATTTCTCTGAGGCGGTAAGTTACTACTTTTTAGGGTCATGGGATTCTATGTACGTGATTTTATATTATATTATTTGTATGGTATTGTGTCCTTTGGCGTGTGGGGTTTTTGTGGCGGCGGCACGTCGATAATAAAGGCAGCTCAACTTTTCTTGCAAGGTTCAAATCAATTTTTTTTTTTTTTTGTTGTTTATTACTTTGAAAATTGCTAAGAGAGGATATATATATATATATGCTGTACGAAGATGTTTTGCTATGACAATGATAATGCTGCAGCAAATAAATGGTGTCCTCAACGATGTCATGAACATTCTATGAAAAATTTTATTATTGTTTTGTTTTTGTGGTACACCTTTTAAATTCTGTTTTTGGCATCAATGTTATTATTATTATTATTATTATTAATTTTAAGTTTCTTATTCATATTCTTCTAATTTTTTTTTTTTTTTTTTTTTTGCTTCGTTGTGAACGCCATGTTGTTGCCTGTTTCTTTCTCTTGCGTTTTATTCATTCCCCGTTCTTTTTTTATTTTTTTATTTTTATTCATCTTAGCCGCAGCCCCTGCCGCCCATGGCCATCCCGGAGGCGACGCGGGCAAAGGCGATCGCTCAACTCACCGCCATTCTCAGCGAACTGCGGGAGTTCGAGCCGACCGCCGCCGCCGCGTACGCCGAGTCGGTGGTGTCCGCGATGGCCGCTGCCTTCACCGACAAGGAAGACTTTCGAGATCAGTTGATGAGTCTTTTGGCGAATATGCGAAGTCTCGACGGTGAGTTAACTCAGGTTGGCCCAGCCGTCCTCGCTACAATGAAACCACAAGAGATGCTTTCAAGAAAGCAGCGACAAGAGCGGAATCGTTTCTTGCGAAAGAGGACGCGTGAACAGATTGTTTATGATGCTACTAGTATGCTTTGCACGACGTGCAAACTTGTACGTCCGGATCGCCTTAACCTCAACCAACTGGCACTAGACTCAGAGGAAAATGGAACACAATTTGATTACAACTTTGATAATCTTTGTCAATGCACTCATGACAGTGATGAAGACACGTCAAGTACATCATCATCATCGGATACAGATAAAGACGAGGTGTCTACTAATAAGGATGACTCCACGCACTCGTAACCAGATATATTATGTCTTGTAGTGTCTATACAAGTTCACCATATTTCTATTTGTTCATAAAGTGTTTGTTTGGAAATCATTATGTGAAGTGGATACCCTGATTTATCGTAATTTTTTTTTTCTTGTTTTTTTTTTTGCTTTTTTTTTTTTTTCTTTTTACCGCGTTTGATTACGATAGAAATGTCGGTGTGAGAAATATTGACCCAAAAGTAAATAATGAGTACACGACAAAACAATGGGACGAGTTCAATCAACGGTCTCTTGGAAGAAGGAATCGGGAGTATTGATTTGGGCTGTAATTTTACACCACGTCGCCTTACAGAAGCTGGAGAAACGGATGTTATGACTCGGGAAACATTGGAGTTGCTAGAGCGGATGCGAGTGGATTTGAATCAAATGAAGAGTTCTGTTGACCTTCGTGAACAAACTGAACGGACTCTTTCAGTTAGAGCTGCACGCCATTTGATTTTATCACTGAAAAAATCTGATCTAAATTCACAAGATATGGATCCTGTTTCGTGTCGTCGTCAACCTCGTGGTAATTTTTATTTTGTTCCCATGGCGACAGCTCCACTAACGAGTTTTTCATTCTTTGGTAGTAGTGTTAATAGTAATGAGGGAGTTGTTGCACAACAGCAACTCATCGAACATGTGCCTAGACAACAGTTAACTGATACTGATAAACCAATCGAACAGCCTCCATGGAATGCTTCCACAAGTTTCCAGAAAGTTGAAAAGACATCAACAACAAGAGAGGTACAAAGAAAGATGTCTCCTGATATTGAATCTGTGCGGAATCAACGAAGAGGATCTTCCAAGGTACCAGTTTTATTACCAACCCGTGAAAGAACAACCAATTCTCCTGTTTTGACAACTACCTCTCCTGTTTTGAATTGTAATCCTCCTGAATCTGCCATTTTTCAGAAGGAAGTTATGGAGGATAAATTCAAGACAATGGATAATCTTTTATTATCTGATGAGGTACAGATTCGTGATTATTTAAGACGTTTAAATATAGTAGGTTGTGAACCAACAGAATTTCAGGAGAGGATAGATGATGATGTACTAAATGGTATCGCACTCCGTCGACTGGTGTCCCTTGTACTTAGTACTAGGGGAAATAAAGAAATCTTCACTAATAGTACTACTACTACTACTACTACTACTACTACTACTACTACTACTACTACAGTTCCATTAAAAGCTAAAAATATCGAAGATGTTCGGCAGAATTATGTGGTAGCTCTTAATGCACTGGGAAATGCTGAAAAGTTATTTTCACTTTGTATTCCACGAGAATGTCGTCTCATACGTCCGGAGAGCGTTATCGTAAGAGGTGACTCAAGTTCACTTTTTTTACTACTACGTACAATTATAAATTCATGCTTACCAACAAATTATATACATATTTGGAGATCTCCTTCTTTCTCATGGCAGCCGGATCTTTATGCAGAGAGTTACACCCCTGATAAAATGCGTACTCTTGAGTTGGCAGTGTGTGGTTTCTTATATTCACAGGATGTTCTTGCCGATCCTATAGCTCACCAACTTCCTCCTGATGATGCGGTTGTCCCAAGTGCTCTTAATGCGCCTTTTTTACCACCCCATAGAAAGCAATGGTGTTTTAGAAAAGAGGAATTTCCCTCTCTGTTTATTCCTTCCGTGTTTCCTTTTCTTACAAATGGTACAGTGTTGTGTGATATCGTGGAAAAGATTACCGGTAAGCGACTCACTGTACACAGGAATCCAAGGGTGAAGTCAAACTGTATTGAAAATATTCAAGCAGCATTTATAGAATTGCAGAAGTACTGTCCATCAAGAATGAGTTTTTTCTTTATTAATGATCCTCAAAATGTTTTCTATGGTGACCGAAGGTACATATTATTATTGTTAGAGGATATTATGAGGTTAGCAAATGGCGCTGCTCCCAGACGGCGTGCCCCTTGCCGCACAGATGTACCGTACTTGGGACCGAGACATTTATCCCATGTATCTCGTCCCGCCATTTCTGATTTACCCGAAGAAAAGTTAATCTTGACAGCGTTTGATGAGCCAATAAAGCCTCCCAGTTCCTTCTTGACCAGTTGCCCCAAGAGGGATCCTGGTGATAATGTTGGCGGTAATAACAACAACAATAATAATGGTGGTAGTGGTGGTACACGTTCAACAACTCCTGAGCGAACGGTTTCGCGTTGTGTTATTGCCTCACCACTCTCAAGCGGCGGCACTGTAAAATTATCATCGGCCCGTCCTGAAAGGCCTTCCTCTTCATCTTTAGCTTTGCCATGTGAAGCAAATCACGAGACATATGTGAGTGGGTTTCCATTCACAATATTTAATAACTCAGTATATACGGAATCAGACATTGAGGCAATAAAGAAATGGCTTATTGCTGTACTTGGTCCTGATTTTCATTACACTTCTGCGGATACTTCTTTTTCATTCTCGTGTAAAAATCTTCATATACACGAGCGATGCTTTCTCTTTTCCGATGGTGTAATTTTAGCACACCTCATACGAACCTTAGAATGCCGGCGTTGTACAGAGCTTGAGTCGATTGAAGTGCACGCGAAGGCTCCTGCAGCAAAACGACGTAACATCCGAAAGTGTGTTTCTTTTCTGCAAAAAGAAAAACGGGTTTTGCTCGATATACCGCTACTTGACGAGATACTTCTTTCCGGTGATAGCCGTGGTGTGTTATACGTGATCAACTGCCTCAAGTACACGTATCGTTTCGCAGTAAAAGTATAGACGTGAAGAAAAAAGTAAGAAACAAAAAAAGATAAACATATACACCTGTGTATATGTTTCTCTTTGTCTATGTGAGCTTTAATGTGTTCACAGATGTCTGGTTTTTTGTTCTTTTTTTTTTTCACACTTGTAAGATAGAAGTAACCAAGTAGTAAATCATTTTCCTTTTTCTTTTTGAGGGAACGTGTAATTATTTATTTATTTATTTATTTATTTATTTTGTTTTACTTTCTTGCTCTTTTTGTTTTGTCTTGTATTTGTTTCACATTCCACCTTCGTGGTGATATCACTATTTCTTATATTACCAAAGGAACAAAAAAGAAAAAAAAAAATAGCAACACATAACAAGTTTTAAGACAAATATCATGTACGCTGGCATTGATCTCGGCACTTCTGGTGTAAAGGTGGCACTCATATCTACAGATGGCTCTGTTATAGATACTGCCACAGCGCCTCTAAGTGTCTCACGACCCAAGCCGCTTTGGAATGAACAGGACCCTGCAGATTGGTGGGAAGCTACAAATAAAGCGATGGATATTCTCAAATCTAAACATGATATGAAGAAGGTTCGTGCAGTGGGACTCTCTGGTCAAATGCATGGGGCCACACTTCTCGACAAGGATGGGAAGGTCCTTCGCCCCTGCATTCTTTGGTGTGATGGACGATGTGGCAAACAATGCCGTGAACTTGAAAAGATGGTCCCACACTCTCGAAAGACAACAGGAAATCTTATGATGCCAGGATTTACAGCAGGCAAATTACTATGGGTAAAACAGAATGAACCTGATGTATTTAAGAAGGTAGATATGGTTCTTCTACCCAAAGATTATTTGCGATACCTCATGACAGGCGATTTTGCTTCGGAGATGTCTGACTCTTCTGGAACAATGTGGATGGATACGGCAAAACGTGACTGGTGTGATGATTTATTACACGCATGTGGACTCTCAAGGCGAAACATGCCCAAACTTTACGAGGGTACTGATATTACCGGCCGCTTAAAACCATGCGTTGCCCAGAAATGGGGGATGAAAGAAGTTCCGGTGGTGGGAGGAGGTGGTGACAATGCAGCAGGAGCTGTTGGAGCTGGTCTATACAAACCTGGTCAAGCGATGCTATCTCTTGGAACTTCTGGTGTTTATTTTATTGTATCTGATAAGTTCCGTTATAATGTAAAGGAAGCTGTACACAGTTTCTGTCATGCGATCCCTAATTCATGGCACTTGATGTCAGTGATTCTCAGCGCGGCGTCTTGCCTTGACTGGGCTGCCCGCATGACTGGTTGTGAGAGTGTGAAGAAGTTTGTCTCGGAGGCGGAGCGAGCAGAAGGGTTTGACGAAGCCCCCGTCTGGTTTCTTCCGTATCTCGCCGGCGAGCGCACGCCCCACAACAATCCACACGCGAAGGGAGTCTTCTTTGGACTGACGGCGCGGCACGGGCGACCGGCGGTGGCCCGCGCGGTTCTCGAGGGCGTTAGTTTCGCCCTCGCAGCCGGCATTGACGCCGTTGATCGTTGCGGTCTGCAGCCGACGAGCATCACTCTCATCGGCGGCGGTACCCGCAGTCGCTTCTGGCGCCAGATGCTCGCAGACGTGACGGGCAGGCCGATGGATTACTGCAGCGGCGCGGAGGTCGGGCCCGCACTCGGAGCTGCACGTCTCGCACAGGTGGCCATCGAACAACGCCCGCTTGGGGAACTTCTTCCACGCCTCCCGCTCGTCCACACACACCAACCTGACGCTCAGCAGCACAAGATCTACCAGCAACGAAGGAGGGTCTATGAGGAGCTCTACAAATCTCTGGAGCCCCTTATGTCGGCCAAACTCTGATAAGAAAAAAAGTTTTTCTTGTGACCTTATCATGCGTCGTAGAATGTAGCCATTCAAAAAAAAAGAATGGATTTTTTTTTTTTTAATTATTATTATCATTTTTTTTTTTTTGCTTTTCTTCTAATCATAAAACGAAAAGGAAACAGATGCCATGGTAAGGTAAATGTTATTTTCTTGTTTTATCCTTCCCTAATTTACGAATCAAGTGATATTGTTTTTCATAAGTATGTAGAAGGAAAAGAAAGAGAAAGTATCATCGTAGAAAAAAAAAAAAAAAGAAAAAAAAGAAAACGAGTATTACGAAAACGATTGGAAGAGAATTGTTTCCCTTTATTTATTTATTTATTTATTTATTTATTTTGAAAATAGGATGTTGAAGGGAAAAAAAGAGAACGAAAAGGGGTTAGTTAGAAAGGAAAAGCGCACTTCACGTGTCTTTACTCAGAATACAAGTATAAATGTACATCTGTTTTAACGGTTTTGTGGGTCATTATATCTTTCTCGGGTTTCTTTTGTTGGTATTATTATTATTATTATTATTATTATTATTATTATTATTATTATTATTATTATTATTATTATTATTTTTATTATTNTTATTATTATTATTATTATTATTAATGTTAATATTATTGGTGTTTTTATTATTAGTGATTTTTATTGATTTTATTTTATTTCATTTTTCTTCTTCTATTTTTTCTTTTTAATATATTGGTTTATATTTGCGTGCAGAAAAGCAACGTAAAAAAAAAAAAAAATGGCAACCAATCCAGATATTGAGTCAGACATTCCCCATGAGGTGTACTCCTTCTTCAGGGCCTTGAATAAGGCAGTTGATTCATGGGATACAAACTTACTGCATGATATGTACGAGAACCAGTTCCCAAGTTTTACACAGAATTTTTATGTTGCAGGCCCAGGTCAGTTCCGCCCATGGCCGTCGCTTCGTATTAAGGCAGTCTCTGATTGCTTTAAGAATCGCACAGCAGAACAGTTGTACTCCTTTTTGCGTTTCAAGCATCTTTTTACTGACCGAGCTGTGAAATTGAGCGACGCCAAATCTTCTTGGGAGACGTTCAGCAATCTCTTTACTGCTCTCCCATCAGGAAGCTGCGATGTTCCAAATTGGCTTCTCTGGGACATATTTGATGAATTTTTGTTTCAAATGACTGTGGTTTATCAGAAGCGTTTTGCAGGACGAGTTGAGTGGTCGGTGAGTGAAGCAGTACAAATGCTTCAGAGAGTCGTTGCTGAATCAGGTATTGAGGAAGCTATTCAAACGGAAAATCCTGATGAAATCACTAAACCTGGAGCGAAACACGCCCAATGGATGTGCGGATTTTTTGGAATTATTACCCTAGCCAAGATTGATGTGCTGCTAGGTGACTACAATGGCGCATTGAGTACTTTGGAAACGCTGGATATCTATGGTCGTGGAAGACAGGTTCTATTAACTATTGCCCCTGCAAACGTTTCACTCTTGTACCATGTGGGTTTCAGCTACCTTATGCTTCGACGCTACGCAGATGCCAGTCGTGTTTTCCGCCTAAGTCTATCTACAAAGGTTGGAAATCGCAAATTTTCAGAGAAAATGCAACTTGACTGTGCTTATATGCACGTTATTTCATGCATATTGGGTGGTATGCAGCCAGATAATTTAAGTTGGTTAATGGAACCACGAAAACTCTCAGCCTTTGAAGATGATAAGGAACTTCTTGCAGCTGGTGATGAGGAACGATTCCGTGAGGTATTTGATCGGTGTAGCCCAAAGTTCCTTGCTGTTCCACCCATAACTACTAGTGTGTACAAGGGAACTGAAGGTAAAGAGCTTCAGGCGCGTCTTTTCCGTCGAACCGTTAAACAACAAGAGGATATAATTAAACTGCGCGGTTACCTTGGCGTTTACCAGACAACCACCACTGAACTTGTGAAGACTATTCTAGATGTGGATGATGGATTTGTGCCATTGTTTGCCATGAAGCTACGTTCACGTCAGCTTGTACATGATGGTGTTTCAGCAGATCTGTTGTCAGGTACTTTTGCTGTTCGTGCAGCTCTTGACTGTACTGTTAAAGGTGAAAACATCAATGTTGTTCAGAAGTCTTCGTATCGTACGACTGAATCTAAGTACTGGATGCGAATTAATAATTTGCGCCGTCGGTACAGGCACTTCGAAAACCAGAGGCAAGAAAGACAAGAGAGACGTCAGGCGCAACATGTTTCGAATGTTAATTGAGATGCTCTCTCTCACTCTCTCTTTTTTTCTTTCGTCTTTTTTCTGCCTCATCTTAAAGAGCCAGTTGCATAAGCGGCTTGAATCTTCGTAATAAATAAAAAAAAAATAGACAAGGAAAGGATTTATATTACATTTATGTGAGTGTCGCTGTTTTTTTTTTTCGGCTGACAACTTATTTCTGACAGAACCTTTTCGTTTCGTTTTCTTGTCTTTCACTCTTTGATGTTCTCTCTGCATATTTTTTTTTTTTTTTCTATTTTCTTTTTTACTTTTGTTTATGCCTCCTTCGATTTTTCTGTTTTTTAATGATCTCTGTGCTTTTTCTTTTCTTTTTTTTTTGTCCTTTTTTTTTTTGTTTTAGTTGTCCTCTTCACTAGGGTTGTGAGACATATATGTTTTTAGGTGAAGATGATGATCTACCTGAACCCACTCCCTATGACACTAGATTTTCGCAAGAGGCACGTTTACTGCGATTAGAGAAGGAGATGGCCTTGTTGAAGAAGCAGTGGTGTGGGTGTCGAGGTGGACCGTCGCAATCCCTGGAGCGATACAGTGATGTTAACCCCACAGAAATATCTGAAAAAAAGGTAGAGAGATCGTGTTCTCCTGATTCTGGTCTTGGTACGTCATTGGAGTGTCGTAGCGATAATGGGCAAGTGGATAAAGTGCAGTACGAACTACGACAAATCGTTCCACATCTCTCACCAGAATTTATTTGTTCTGAACGTGATGCAGTGTTGCTTCTTTCTGTTATACGCTCTGGTTCTACATCAAGGGGAACAGAATCGTGGGGGGAACGCGTTGCAGTATTAGAGTCTGAGCGACGCACACTACAGAACAAACTTGATAGAAAACATCAGGAGTGTGAAGAGCTTAAAGATGCTGTGGCAGACCTGAAGCAGAAACTTCGATCGACGCAGCAGCAAGCACAGGCGTCATCTTCCTTGTTGTCACAGAAGCGCGAGGAGGTACGCAAACAGCTTCTTCTTGAGGAGTCAAGAACGCAGAAACTTCAGGTGCGTAACGGAAAACTGGAGATGGAGATTGATCGACTGAAAGACATGTTGCATTCTCATATGCGAAAGTAGAAAAGTGAGTATTTAATACATGGAAGCAAAAAAAAAAAAAAAGTAAATTTCTCAGTATCTTTCAAAATTGGGCATCTGCTAAACTTGTTCTTGTGGCAATGCTCATGGGAAGAAAAAGCAAAACTTTTGTTTTATTTTACCCGGTAGAGATTACAGTGTAAATGAATATCGGGCTATTGCTCTACTAATGGGGTAAATGTTTCCAAGTTCTTTTCATAAGAAAAATTTATACTGTTCTCTTTTTTTTTTGTTTATTTTTGTTGTTACACATCTAAGAAAAAAATGTTTCTCTTTTTTTTTTTATTCTGTTTTTTTGTTAATTATTATTTTTTTTTTTTTATGATTGATTTATTGGTGTCGCTTTTTCGTATATACATATATTTTTTTTAAAGTGTTACTGAGCATAAAAATCATCTAAACATGGGAGTTGAGCGTAAAGTGCTTCTTGAAGGCAACGGTGTGAAACCGAAGAAGGGTGACGAAGTGACGGTGCACTGTACTGGTTACATCGCCGAGGGCAGGAAAAAGTTCTGGTCAACGCTAGATGACAATAAGGAGTTCTCATTCCGTGTAGGACTTGGACAAGTGATTCGCGGTTGGGACGAGGGAGTATTACAGATGTCAATTGGCGAGAAGGCAGAGCTGACTCTTTCTGGTGACTACGCGTATGGAGAACGAGGATTTCCCGCATGGGGTATTAAACCGAACGCCGCTTTAATTTTTGAAATTCATCTTTTAAAGATCAACTAGGAGTGGTAAATAAAGCTTAGATACTTCTTTAACAATAGTAGAGGCATCTACTACTTTTGGTATACAGTATTATATATATATATGCCTTTGTATGTAGGTGTGTACCTTTGTTGAAATCCCCCTTTTTTTCTTCTTTTTTTCTGTTCAATTTGTTTTCTGTTGACAATCCAGCTGTGGGTGAAGGCAAGAGTTGAACCGGATTGATTAATGTCTGTTAAGTATTCTATAGTGGTTCCTACATACAAGGAGTGCGGGAATATTGAGCCGCTCACGCGGCAGGTCTTCGCCGCGCTGCGGGATGCTGGCTTTGCGGCGGACACCGTTGAGATGCTCATCGTGGACGACAACTCGCAGGACGGCTCTGTCGAGGCGGTAGAGTCGCTGCGACGCGAGGGCTACCCCGTGAGCATCGCCGTCCGCACAACCGAGCGGGGGCTCAGCAGTGCCGTCATCCACGGCCTCTCCGCCGCCCGGGGGACGCTTCTCCTCGTGATGGACGCCGACCTCCAACACCCGCCCGCCGACGCCCCGCGTCTCCTCCGCGCCCTCGAGCGTCCGACCGTCGAGTTCGTCTGCGGCACGCGCTACGGCGCCGGTGTCGTCGTCGACCGCGACTGGCCGCTCCACAGAAGAATCATCTCGTGGGGCGCACGACTCCTGGCACGCCCACTTACCCCACTCAGTGACCCAATGTCAGGATTCTTCGCCATTCGCAAGGATGTCTTTCAGCGTGGCGCAGACGCTTTGAATCCCATTGGCTACAAAATTGCCCTGGAACTCTTTGTAAAGTGCCGGGTAAAGAAGTATGATGAGGTCGGGTTCAATTTTTCTACACGAACAATAGGGGAAAGCAAATTGACGGGAAAAGTAATATTACATTATTTAAAGCACTTACAGGCGTTATACGTCTATTCATATGGTTTCTGGATCGTGATTGCAGTAGTCGTCCTGCTTTTCGCTCTTCTTCGATCCGTAAAATACATGCTTTAACCCATGTTTTTGGTCAAAGCAAATGTGCGAAACAAAAGAAAAGGGAAAAAAAAACGAAACAATGGAAAAATAAAATATTGAAGGGAAGACAGCAAAAAAAGAAAACGATGACCTTATACAAGTAAAAGAAAAAAAAAAAAAAAGAAGCGACCTCATGGCCATATGAACCTCTTACATGTTTGTGTATAGTCTCTTCTTTGGGGCGAGAAACATAGAGTGAGAATGAAGTAGGAAATTTTGAATGACACCGTTATTATTATTTTCTCCATTTTTCTATATCTTTCTTCTTCTTTTTTCCTCTCTCTCTCTCTTTGTTTTCCTTTTCTTTATGGTTAATTTTTTTTTTTCGTTATTGTTCTTTTTGCGGAAGTACACCTATGAGTAAGGGAGACGTCGTGGCGGTATTTTGTAACGAGGAACATGAGGAAGAGGTGATGTCGAGACTCAACGTCTTGGAAGGGTTCCCATACAGGATGTTTTCACTACGTAATGGCCCGTCTATGTACCTTGCCGTGCGATCCTTCTTTGCTTCTCGCGAGATGTATCGATGTGCATTGAACCTTTGTACTGGTTCTACCGAAGACGAACGTTCTGGTAGTCCTGTGGTTTTGGCTTCTCTTTTTGAACATTGTGGGGTCACATACGCTGGTTGTCGCTATGATTTGCTGAAACAACCATTAGATATTCTTTTTATGATATGTTTTTATGCTGGAATGCCGTTGCCTAGATTCTCTGTTATAAGGACAGGTGCGGATATTGAACTATTTGATCTACAGTTTCCTGTTAGGTTGCGTAATGCTGACCCTCTTCAAGGTACCTTTGACTGCGTTTTAGAGAAGGAGTCAACATTGCATGAGGTATTAAAGGATGCTGTAAAGAACTACGGTAAGGTGGTGGTGTGGGAAGTGAGCGGAAAAAAATCTACCGAAATGGAAGTGTTGGTTTCAGGTGCCGGTTTTGTTGCTTTCACTCAGGAAAGTATACAAGATAATATATTAGTGCAACGTTTTACTCCTGCTATAGAAAAATATGCGGCATCTTTTGCAAAAGGTGTTTTGGATAAAAATGGATACGCTAAATTACTTTTTAATAAAAGCAGACATACAGATGATTTAGTCCTTGAAAGTGTAAATCTTGAATGTTCTTTGATTGATTTAAACTCGATTATTTTATCGCCTGCAGCTACCAAAGATTTTTTAGAGGAGTGCATTCGTGAGTGTGAACGAGGGTGCAAACCACCGGTTATTGAACTACGTTTTGGGGGATCGAACAAGGGTTACTTTCTTTGTGCTGCTAAGGAAATCAAAAAAGGAGAGTACGTTTTTGAGGATGAAGGGCGTAGTTTCTCTATTGTGACAAAACCTTTTGTTATGAAGCGGTGGGATGCTGAAAAAAAGGTTCTCTTCGCCGAGTATGCATGGCCTCTAGATGCTGATGGTCATGTGTATGCTATTTGGGAAAAAGATCCATGTAGGTGGCGACCCATTAATCATTCCTGTGATCCTAATTGTATATTTGATGAGGGACATTCATTAAATGTGGTCGCCGCCCGTGACATTAGTAAGGGAGATGAACTTACAATGGACTATTCTACTTTTTGTGATTATACAATGAAGCCCTTTTCATGTTTTTGTGGTTCAGTCTGTTGTCGTGGACTCATTATTCCTGATGAGACCTCATTAAAGAAGTATGGCACTCACACATGGCACCGACGACCACCTTTTCGTCCTTCAGAGAATTCTTGATGCCTCCCTCACATTTCAGTGTTGTACTGAGATGAAGTATTTTTCCTTTTATTCCATTTATAGGTGATTATATAATATATATATATATATATATATATATATATATATATATAGCGAGTGAGACAGAGATAGTGTTTTTTTTTTTTTTTTTGTTAATCTTTAGGTTTGTTCTTTTATTTCAATTCGGTGCAGGTGCCCTTTGTATATCGCTCTGGCAAGCTCTGTTGAGAGAAATAACATCTCTGGGTTCGCTTCTATTCATACTCTTGAGGTGATCTGAATAGTTGTCGATGTGTGTGTAGAGAAGAAGAGAAGGGGAAAAAAAAGGCTTCATTCATGGTCTGAGGAACTCTGTAAACAGGAGAATTAGATATTTCTTCCCGAGAAATATTATTGGGGTTTTATTTGTTTGAGTTGTTTTCTAGTTGTGAACCATTTTTCATTTTTTTTTTTTTGTTTTGTTCGCAGTACTCGGGATCATACTATGGTTGACGTTTTTCCTGTATTACCTTTTCTGCGTGTACCTTTATGTTTCCAGTATGGAATCCAAGACCAGTTCGGGTTAGTAGTGGTACTGGTGATTTTCTCCATGATGCTGTTGCAAAAAGATATAAAAGAAGAATAAAATTTTTTTTTCTTTTTTTGTTTTTTTTTTTTCCTTTCTTTTATGTTTTGTTGTTCTTTATTTCTCTTTTTCTTTTCATCTCTCTGGTTTAACAAGGGCAACTTAACATTTTACTGAGGCGCTGTAGTGCAGATATTAACTGAATTTCTGCTGTTAGCGTTATCAATAAAATGAGTTGGGGCTACCGTTTTTTCCGTTACGATTTGCCGTATGCCCTTTTAGGTGCATTTATTGGTTGGAACTGCGATGTATGTTGTTGTGTGCAAGGCCGTTCCATGTTCCCTACACTTGCACCAGGAGATTATGTTCTCTTCGCTCCTTACACTCTGCTTAGTCTTATGCAAAATTTTTCTATCCAGCCACTGGTAAAAGAAGGCGATGTTGTCGTTGTGCGCATATCACCCGAATTAACAGTTTGCAAGCGCGTGATGCGCCTCACCACCGACCGCAACGTTGCGCAAGAGTGGAACGACGATCAGTTCACAGAGATTGAACCGCAGTACATCCCTCCGTTTACATCTAACGTCACACAAGAACAAGAACAACAACAACATGAAGAAAATAAGGAATTCTTGGAGGAGCAACAACGAGAGGAATGGGAGGCTGCTGCACATCAGAGTCTCGCTGCCTACGCGCGGTCACGCGACTGGGATGAGTGCCTTGACCGCGTGGACCACCCGGCCGCGTGGATATGGCTTGAGGGTGACAACCCACCAGAGAGTTTTGACTCGCGCCACACTGGTGCTATGCCTCTTGAGTGTCTACGCGGACTCGTGTTAACAAAGTTGTGGCCGGTGCCTGCACTGTTGTCACCGCGTGTCGTTTCTTGAAATTCTATCGTAAGATGATTAGTGCAGCAGTAAGTACAACCACCAAAAGAGGAACTAGAGTGGGAGTGGGGAATAACAGGTTTGCGGTTAGTGCACACCTCGTTGGTTTTTTTTTTTTTTCTTTTTTTTCCCCTATTGTTGTCTTATTTCCATCAATGATGATTGACTGTGTTTAGGGTCTGTAGCGAACAGTCCTCTTCCTAGAGGCTCAGTTGAAATGGTTGACAATGCGATTTCCGATGATTTCGCTGTGGCCGGTGTAATGAAGGAAGTGTTGCGCGTCCTTCCATTCTGGAAGATCTTTGTAGAGCTACGCGAGGCGTACGGCAGGAAACCAACAGTGGTTTCCTGTGATGTGTCTATAAAGAGTCGTATGGAATGCTCACATTTTATAGGCGTTGATGTGCTATGGGTACAGTCGGAAATTGTTCTTGTAAATTGGCGAAGACCACCAAAAAGAAAAGGAGTTCCAAAAGACATTCCGAACCAATATGTCGAAATAAAAGTAAGTTTTGGGTCTATGCACTTTGTTCACCGAAATGCTCACCTTATCGGATATGACCAAAGTTACCATTTACAATCTGTCGTGCTTTTACAACGACCTGAACAACTGCAATGTATAGCGGGGAATATGGTTCATTTCGCCTTTCTTGTATACGGAATGCTTCAACTCACTCTCCGTAATCACTCCGTGGAAGCGCATGAAACTCTTCTGCCCCCTTCTACCTCAACAGTTCTAATCCTTGGAATGGGAGGAAATAGCATGGAGTGTGGACTACGTTATATTCTTGGTTCTCAAGCTCATATCTACGTTGCAGAGATTGAACCTTCAGTGGTACGCATCTGTAAGTCTTCTGGACAACTGAAAGAAAATACTGAAACTCATGTTCTTATTCAATCTGCAGAAGGTGCTCTGCAGAATTGTCCTGAAGAGTGTAGTTTTATCTTCATGGATGTATTTGAACCACTTAGTGGATGTATGATAAATTCCATGAATTTAATAGAAAAAGCTTTCCAACGTCTGGCAACGAATGGTATACTTGTCATTAATGAGCATAGTCTTCCCACTACCAAAGATATTTTACCTTTAATAGAATTATTCGGAGACGGTAACGTACAGTTTATCAATGTTCGCGGTTGGAATGAAAGTGTCATAACAGCAGTAAAACCTGGTGGGAAATTTGACGGACACGGAGTGCTCTGTTCAAAGAGGCTTGCATACGAAGTACTACATAGTTATGATAAACCATTTCCAGGATGGATGCCAAGAAACACTTTCATCGAACGATCTAAAATATTATACGCCAAAACTGAATCAAAAATACTTCATGCACGAGAATGGATATCCTAAACATATAAACCTAACACAATCAATATGGAACACAACACAGAAGGAAAAAAAAAATCCTACACATTGCTCTACCTTTCTCTTCCCCTTATTATTATCTTTTCTTATTTTTCGTTCTACCTTCCCTTTTTTTCACATTATTTTTTTTCTTTTCTCTTTCCTTTTCTCTGTTTTTTTTTTTTCCGTTGTAACTACGCTCTGGTGCAGAATCCGTGCTTACTAAAAGCTATTCAAGATGGTCAACTTCACTGTTGATGAGGTCCGTGCCCTCATGGACTACCCTGAGCAGATCCGTAACATGTCTGTGATTGCTCACGTGGACCATGGTAAGTCGACTCTGTCAGACTCACTCGTGGGTGCCGCTGGCATCATCAAGATGGAGGATGCTGGTGACAAGCGTATCATGGACACCCGTGCTGATGAAATTGCACGTGGTATCACCATTAAGTCAACTGCCATTTCCATGCATTACCATGTGCCACGCGAGATGATTAGCGAACTTGCTGACGACAAGCGTGACTTTCTGATCAATCTGATCGACTCACCCGGACACGTTGACTTCAGCTCTGAGGTGACGGCGGCACTCCGTGTGACTGACGGCGCTCTGGTGGTTGTTGATTGTGTGGAGGGTGTGTGCGTCCAGACGGAGACGGTGCTGCGTCAGGCACTGACGGAGCGTATTCGCCCCGTGGTCTTCATCAACAAGGTGGACCGTGCCATCCTGGAGCTGCAGTTGGATCCCGAAGAGGCCTACCAGGGCTTTGTGAAGACACTGCAGAACGTGAACGTCGTGATTGCGACATACAACGATCCTGCCATGGGCGATGTCCAGGTGTATCCTGAGAAGGGTACTGTTGCCATTGGTTCTGGTCTGCAGGCGTGGGCGTTCTCTGTCACGCGTTTTGCCAGGATGTACGCGTCGAAATTCGGCGTTGATGAGGCAAAGATGTGCGAGCGTCTTTGGGGCGATAACTTCTTTGATGCCAAGAATAAGAAGTGGATCAAGAGCGAAACCAACGCTGCTGGCGAACGTGTTCGCCGTGCATTCTGCCAGTTCTGCTTGGACCCCATTTACCAGATCTTCGATGCCGTGATGACTGAGAAGCAGGACAAGGTGGAAAAGATGCTTAAGTCGTTGAACATCAATCTGACGGCGGAGGAACGTGAGCAGGTGCCCAAGAAGCTGCTCAAGTCGATCATGATGAAGTTCCTGCCAGCTGCGGAGACGCTGCTGCAGATGATTGTGGCACACCTGCCCTCACCCAAGAAGGCTCAGAGCTACCGCGCGGAGATGCTCTACTCTGGCGAGGCCAACCCAGAAGACAAGTACTTTACTGGTATCAAGAACTGCAACCCCGAGGCACCGTTGATGCTGTACATCAGCAAGATGGTTCCCACAGCTGATCGCGGTCGCTTCTTTGCATTCGGTCGTATTTTCGCCGGTAAGGTGCGCAGTGGACAAAAGGTGCGCATCATGGGTAACAACTACATCTACGGTAAGAAGCAGGACCTGTACGAGGACAAGCCAGTGCAACGTACGGTGCTGATGATGGGTCGCTACCAGGAGGCGGTGGAGGACATGCCTTGTGGTAATGTGGTTGGTCTTGTGGGTGTTGACAAGTACATTGTGAAGTCTGCCACCATCACTGACGACGGTGAGACCCCACACCCTCTGCGTGACATGAAGTACTCTGTGTCACCCGTTGTGCGTGTTGCGGTGGAGGCGAAGAACCCCTCCGATCTGCCCAAGCTTGTTGAAGGTCTGAAGCGCCTTGCCAAGTCCGATCCACTTGTGGTGTGCTCAATTGAAGAGAGCGGTGAGCACATTGTTGCTGGCGCTGGTGAACTGCATCTTGAGATCTGTCTCAAGGACTTGCAGGAGGACTTCATGAACGGTGCCCCACTGAAGGTATCAGAGCCTGTCGTCTCTTTCCGCGAAACAGTGACAGATGTGTCGTCTATCCAGTGTCTGTCCAAGTCTGCCAACAAACATAACCGTTTGTTCTGCCGCGGTGCCCCACTGACGGAGGAGCTTTGCATTGAGATGGAAGATGGCCTGAACGCTGGTCCTGAGAGCGACCCGAAGACACGTGCCCGCTTCCTTGCGGACAATTTTGAGTGGGACGTTGCTGAGGCGCGTAAGATCTGGTGCTATGGCCCTGATAACCGCGGTCCCAACGTTGTTGTGGACGTGACGAAGGGTGTGCAAAACATGATGGAAATGAAGGACTCATTCGTTGCGGCGTGGCAATGGGCGACACGCGAGGGTGTTCTGTGTGATGAGAACATGCGTGGTGTGCGTATCAACGTGGAGGACGTGACGATGCACGCGGACGCTATCCACCGTGGTGGTGGTCAGATCATCCCTACCGCCCGCCGTGTGTACTATGCGTGCTGCCTTACTGCTTCACCCCGTCTCATGGAGCCTATGTTCCAGGTCGACATCCAAACTGTGGAGCACGCGATGGGAGGCATCTACGGTGTGCTGACACGCCGCCGTGGTGTGATCATCGGCGAGGAGAACCGCCCCGGTACACCCATCTACAACGTCAGGGCTTACCTTCCCGTTGCGGAGTCATTCGGTTTCACCGCCGATCTGCGTGCCGGCACTGGTGGTCAGGCGTTCCCGCAGTGCGTGTTTGACCACTGGCAGCAGTACCCTGGTGACCCACTGGAGCCGAAGTCGCAGGCCAACACATTGACCCTGAACGTGCGCCAGCGCAAGGGTCTGAAGCCCGATATTCCAGGCCTGGACACCTTCCTTGACAAGTTGTAGAGCATAGTAGTAGTGGTGGTGGTTGTGACACTCAATCGACAGGTGTAGGTTATAAGTGAATAAAAAAAGAGATAAAATTGCGCAGACCAAACATGCCATCACAGTTTAAAAGGAGGAAAAAGAAGAAAATACAAATAATGATCAGATGCTGCTGTAGGTCGAAGCATATCCATAAGTACAAGAAACTAACGTATATATATATATATATA